CCGATTTCTCAAATAAGATTAATCGACATCTTGGAATCACACAATTATTTTGATTTCGTAAATTGTAATGAAGGGGTAAGATTATTTTGTATTTTATATGAGTAGATGATTTTATTGAAGTATATATTTCAGGTGTAAAACCTTCGTAAACAAGGACGTGCCGCTATCGAAAAAGAAGATCATTATGAGGCAAAAGGAGCACGCGCCTTGACGTCATTGACTATGACATACTGTTTGCTCTTACGGAGAAAACTGGTGACGCCAACTGCTAGATTTTGTTTTCTATATGGGTGAGAGTCGAAAGTGTGATGACCATATTTGACGTTGAAACCCTAAATATTGTAAATATATATTCCAGAACAATCGGTAAGGCCTAATGTTTCACTGTTCTGTCGATGCTACATGGATATGTTGGATTATCACCTCTCAGAAGCGTAAGACTTAGCGGTTGCCTGATGGACATCTGTGCTTGGTTGAATGCAGATGAACTCCCCTTGCAGTCCCGTCAGTGAGGAACTTATAATGTGACCACGTAAAATAGGGTGAAGCCATTTAAAAGACATTGCACAACCGAAAACAAACCATGAAACAATTTTGCAACTCATCAAAATATAAACATGTCATTTTGTTTTAACTCACAAATAACCTCTCCACTTGACGACGGCAATCATCTCTGGTAGAACAACAGGCTATCGTCAGAGAGCTCAGAAGACAGAAGCCTTGTGTTACCCGTACTCGAATGAACAGGAATACCACGGCAGTACAACACTGCCTTCCGTATCACACAGATCTCTGTATAAAGTATAGAGTGTATAGGCCAGGCATTAAATCGTAAGTTCCCTGGTAATCTTGGGAGAATGCTATCCTCACGACTACCGAGATCGTAGCCAGAATCCCCGTTGTATTCCCAAATTGTTAAACATATGGAAACGGGTGGTATAGCCCCTCAACTGCTGTCAGAACGCCAAAAACCACCGGCAGCTTTATAGAATGGTGAAAATCTTTCTATGAATCTCAAATAAAGTTCTGATACATGATTTGTTATTTCTAGTAATGTGACATGACGCTACCGATCTGATAGAGGGGAAATAACTCTGAGAAGATTGTCCGATTTTTTTCGTTGGATCTCGCTTATTTTGGGAAATATTTGTCTTCCCGTGATGGAAGGGTGATTCATTTACGTCTGATTTTTCTAGAAACGATATAAGTAAGGGTGAAAATCAAAAACTGGTTTATTCTTAAAAAAGGATGTGATTTTTATGTCTAAATACCAATATTAGTGAAACCATGTGTAATAGTCACTCAAACTAGCGGATTGAGACTGCAGGTGAGAACATTTATTTCTCAGGAGAAATAATGCTTTCTACCTAATTCAAAAGAAATTCCCTTTTGAAAAGAAGTTGATAAATGCAACTCATGGAACACAGAACAAACTGTAACGCAAGGGAGACACATATGTTACACAGTCAAACCCTGTATCACCACTAGTCACAGAAAACCATTGGCTATACCAGTACAGGAAACAACGTGTGGCTATTTAATGTCGTCAGGATTGGATTAAATCTACATTAAGATATGTACCATTGTGTATTAAACATATGTTGAATTATTTTGAAATCAACAGTCTTTATATTCCTCAAATGTTTTTCAATAGTCTGTTGGTCTGTTATCTAATCGAATATTTATTTATTTTAATCAAATTAAACAGAAATGGTCAGCTAGATTGTTCATGGATGAATAAAAACTTTACCAATAAAATATTTAAGATTATAATCATATTTAAAGGTTTCCCTGTATCATATAGTAACTGAATTTTGTCTGAACTTTGTTATTATATTAATTGACTTGTTAACTCTGAGTATTCCTTCTGTGACAGCCCTTCAGGTGTCGCCCCACTAGTAATAATTCACAGTTTCGTTGACTCTGAGTACTCCTTCTGTGACAGCCCTTCAGGTGTCGCCCCAATAGTAATAATTCACAGTTTCGTTGACTCTGAGTACTCCTTCTGTGACAGCCCTTCAGGTGTCGCCCCACTAGTAATAATTCACAGTGTCGTTGACTCTGAGTATTCCTTCTGTGACAGTCCTTCAGGTGTCGCCCCACTAGTAATAATTCACAGTGTCGTTGACTCTGAGTATTCCTTCTGTGACAGCCCTTCAGGTTTCGCCCCACTAGTAATAATTCACAGTTTTGTTGACTCTGAGTATTCCTTCTGTGACAGCCCTTCAGGTGTCCCCCTACTAGTAATAATTCACAGTTTCGTTGACTCTGAGTATTCCTTCTGTGACAGCCCTTCAGGTGTCGCCCCACTAGTAATAATTCACAGTTT